AAGTAAATATACCTAAATCTAATTTACACCAACACCATTTGCTACATCTCTCCATACCTTTCTATTCTTGCAAACCAATCTTGCTTCTACAACATTCATACAATGATTCATACATTGCCTTTTGTTCTTTAAATTTCTTACTCCTGTCTGTTTATGGAGCTCATCAATTTCATCCAACCACAATTTTCTTAGTCTTCCCTTCTTTTTGAACCATACACTCTTCCTTTAAGTATTTGTTTTGTGACTTGATCCTTCTTCATTCTCTCTTTACATACAACCAGCCTCCACATTCCCCTTTTGTATTGGTCATTCACTTTCATAATCAATCAACATTCATTCAACACTCATTCATTCTTGAACACAATTCTTAAATATCCCATTCCTACTGCTTTCGACTGGTTTTTATGTTTCTCCTGATATAACCAACTCTCATTCCAATATAGCAAGACTGGCAGAAGCTCAGCTCTTATATGCAGCCATTTTTGCTTCTTTTTACAAATGTATACTTCTTGAAACAGACCATGTTTTATTACTACCTTTCTACCTGCATTTGGACATCTTAAATTTTCTGCATCTTTAGGAATATTCTACCAAATACACACATTTATCTATTTGCTCTAATAGATGTCTATATATAATTTGCAACCATTCACACTATTCCCCCTGTCAAATATGATAACAGTGACCTTTGATATGTTAAGTTTCAGGTCTATACTCCTTATTACATCATACAAACTACCAAAAATTAACTGCAAATCATTCAGGTTCTCAGCCAACAATCCAGAATCAGCTACTCACAAAAGTACTTATACATCCACGTTCCCAACCAACATACTTCTAATGTCATTGCAAGCATTTTTACAAATTTATCCATAAGTATATTAAACAACCAAGGGGACATCTAACATCTGTCTTAATGCCTGCTCAGTGTTTCACCATTGTTAAGCATTCCATCTATTCTCATGCATATTTTGCTTCCATCATATATTATTACATTCTTATTACATTCTCTTATTACATTCAGCAGTTAGAACTACTCTTATTGCATACAATTCCATATTCACACAAAATATTCAATCATTCAAGCATACGATATCCATTTTATAATACACTTTCTCTAATTTAACAAACATGTAGTAAACTTCTTTTCTCACATTCAGTTTTTGATGTTATAAAATAATGGTTTTATAACCTTTTATCACCTTTGTGTCCTTCACTAATTATCTCAATTTTTCACCATAAATTATCAAAACAATCCTGCTTTTAGAATTGTATTCATTCTGTTGTCTTGTATGCACAATAGGCTTATGCTTAAGCCACACATTTGAAACAAGTAGATCTTTTTCTAATAATATTTTTTATTAAAAGTTTAAAGTACAATAATAAAAGATAATGCAAACTAAAAAGAAAAAGAGAATAAAAAGTGCAAGAAAGCAAAAAAGAGAAAAGAGAAAGAGAAAAGAAAAAAACTAAGAGAGCAACTTCCCACCCTCATCATGACAGTTATAGAGTTTCACTACCTCTTCACCTCCCCTTAGTTAACAGATATAAAACTCTTCATCCCATAGCTCAACTCTTAACTATAGGCAAGTCCAATAAACAACATCTTTTCCAATCCAGGTGTCAGCAAAAAGTCCAAACAGAGCACTAAAATAATCACATTCATGAACAAATATAAAATCATCATTCCATATCTCAGCTCTTAACTGTAAGCAGATCCAATACACATCTTTTCCAGTCCAGATGTCAGTAAGTCCAGAAAGAACCTCCCAAAATAACAACATACCCATTTAACCCTGATCAATAAGAATATATATATCTTCCTTCCTTCCTTCCTTCCTTCCTTCCTTCCTTCCTTCCTTCCTTCCTTCCTTCCTTCCTTCCTTCCTTC